CACGAATTAGAAGTACAAAACGAGGATTTGTAAAGAAAAATGTCAGAGGATTTCGATATAAGCCAAGAGGAGACTCGTTTTCCTTTGCTAAAGTAAGGAAACTTTGCTTCCTTTGCACCTGTAAACAAACGTTGGTTCTCACGAGACTAGCATATTCTCACCTGACCTTACGTTACGCCTACGTCCTATGTCATCCACCAGAACAGCATTCTATTGTGAACGCACGTACAACAGTTAGCGGAAGCTAGAGATTACTGTTTATAAAGTTTAAAATATGGACATTTTATCTTACAAAAACGCATCGATTTGCTTCAGGAGGCATTTATTCAGCCCCCGGAGCCATGTGGGGCACTTTTTATAATGGATGGATGCGCTTTATTGGACTTGTTTTGGACTATTGAAAAATAACACCCACTCACTGCCATTATAAAGCTTGGAAGAGCCAGGACATTTTTAAATATAACTCTGATTGGATTCGTCTGAAAGAAGAAAGTCATATACACCTAGGATGGCTTGAGGGTGAGTAAATCATGGGGTAATTTTCATTTTTGGTTGAACTATTTCTTTAATATATTTTAAAATGTAATTTATTTCTGTGATGGCAAAGCTGAATTTTTAGCGATCATTACTCCAGTCTTCAGTGTCACATGATCCTTCAGAAATCATTCTAATAAGCTGATTTGCTGCTCATGAAATATTTCTTATAATTATTAATATTGAAAACAGTTGTGTTGCTTTTTTTTCAATTGACAGCCCTGATATTTGTGTCTTTCCTTTTCTTTCTCACCGAGGCGAACATTGAGTTGATATTGTCCGGATTTAACTGTGTTGCCTTCCAGAGTCCCGACACAGACGTAACAACCCTCAAAGTCCTTCCTGACATCTTCCAGCGTTATGCCTGTCTCAATACTGGATGAATATCGTAGGCTGTTGGGCAGGGACTGTCCGTCACATTTTTGCAGGTGCAAGTCTGTCATATGTGGGTCTGTGGCCAAGCATGGGATCGTGGTTGTTTCTCCTTCTCCCGCAACAAAGTCAAACATGATGTTCCTCCTGAAGGGATTTTCAGGATCTGCTGAGAGGAATGCTAAATCAAAAACCAATGAAACACAACCAAGGGGGCTTAGATCATGACATTACAGCTCAGAGAAAGAGAGTGAGTGTCACAAAAAGACTGAAAGTGAAAAACTACTCTCCATCATACCTAATAAACAAAAACAAATAACCCACACCTGCAGTGTTCACATTAGTAAAATTAGTGTCAACTGCCAAAAATGCCAAGGATCAATTTGAAGAGTTTATTATTTGGGATTATAAGAACATGCTTGCAAAAACACATAACACAGATGTATAAATAAAGGTCATGCAGGCGACTAGTGAATACAGAGAGCTGATTGTGAGTATTTAGGGCATCTGTTGGCACCCAAAGTGTCTTTTTGGCAAAAAAAAAAAAAAAAAAAACCACAAAGAAGAATGAGGCCTTTTTACGGCACTGTATATTATGGGTTATGGAACATGGACAGTCAACCATTTTTGACCATTTGTTGATGATGATGATATTATTATTATTATTACCACTTTTAAGTAATAAAAATAGTTTTCTGTTTTTAATTTTAGTTTATTATTAAAAGTGGTAATAATAATAATAATAATAATATCATCATCATCAACAAATGGTCAAAAATGGTTGACTGTCCATGTTCCAAAGATGAGAGATGCTGGAGAGTGTGTTCAAAGAGAGAGGGAGAGAGAGAGAAAGACATAAACATAAAGCATGAAAAGTGTTAGAAAGTGCACATGTAATGGTGCAGACATACTTTCTATCTAGTATCTCTACTACTAGTATACTGTTGCTACCAAGCTTGTACAAACCTAACACATATAAAATATACTGAAGCTGCACTCACATGCATACAAGATAGACACTAAGACACAAAGGAGGGTTCAAGAATTCTTTAAATACTGCCCTACAGACATGTCATTCCACCCAGACAATTTATTACACGCATTTAAAATCCTGACTCACGAATGCAAAAGGCTGACTTACCTTTTACATACACATAGATGGAGCTCTTTTCACCAGATGCCTCCTCACGGCATGAATATTTGCCCATGTGTTGTGGGCCTGCTTTGTTCACTTTAAGAACTGTCACTTGACCCTGTCTTTGTTCCTTAAGGATCCGTGTGGGACGGTCTTCTCGCAGCCAGCGCACTGAACTGTCACTCTGGCAACTCAAGCTGAAGTCACTGTTCAGTGGTACTGTGACCTGGGGTCCTTCGGGGATGATGGTGGGCCTGGACCTGGCTGAGAGAAAACAAGTAAGTGAACATGGTGCACAAGTGGAAGATAAACAAGTTTAACATTTGATAAGCATACAAGAGAGTAGATTATTAAGGGTTAATGTGACTTGTTTTGTATAAAAGGTAAATATAAGCGTTGCAGCAAAGAGTCAATGTAAAGATGGTACATCTGCAGTCTGCACTGCATTTTGTCAAATGCATTTGACTTGCCAGAATACTATGGTGATATACAGAATATATCAAGCACATGCATATTTTTACACACACACACACACACACACACACACACACACACACAAATCAAAGCCCTCTCAAGAGTGGGAAATAGTTTCACAACTCAACAAATCCAAAAAAAAATGTCTTCCAAGTTCCTCTAATAGCAGTTTATCTAGAAATGCCAATTTGATGTCGGACAACTCTAAATAAGCTCCCCCCCTCCCCACATGACTGGAAGAATGGTGAAAATAAGTGAATAAAATAACAAAAGTAAAGAAATAAAAAGAAAAAAATTGACAAAATTGACAACTGACAACATGTATATGTAGCATGATGGTAAAACTTCAGCTGATTATTTAAATTATTTTATCTACTATATATATATATATATATATATATATATACATGTGTGTGTGTGTTATTTCTGGATATTATATTATTACATGTTAAAAATAAAAGGACAGAGAGAAAACAGTGAGCAAAGGGCAAAAGGACAAGTAAACACCTATTTGGCAGGTAAAGGATTGCATTGATATTTAAAGATGATGTAGTCGCAATCATGTCCACTCCTGGTTCCTAGTAACTGGTAAATACTGTTTTAAGCTGTCATTGCTTTCTGCAGCTGGTTTTGATGGATTGAGGCAATCATGGCCCTTACATTAACACTGAGAGAGGTGGGAGCAATTTAAATGTAACCTTACGTTAACACTGAGAGAGGTGGGAGCAATTTAATTTAAGGAAAATCTTTTAAAATGGGAAAATGTGTTCAATAAAAATCTTCAAAATGTGTTCAATAAAACAAATATGACATTTTCATCTAATACTACTTTGATTAGAATAATTTTTTTTTAAGTTTCTGAGAATGTGATATACAGGGGTTTCTCTGGTAAATATTTAAACCACATAGAGAGAGCTTTTATCTAAATTACACCATTACGACAACATTATGAGTTGTTGAACAGAGGTGATGTAAGAGAACTAAGTGTTCACTATAAGCTAATGATGCCTGATAAAGATGATAGGACGCAAGATGAATGTTTGCACCATGCAAATTAAATATTGAACTCTGTTCTATTCTACCACAGCCTGTTTTCCCAAAATTACGTTTTGTCCAGTTTATAGATGATAAAACAATGATAAACATAAGTTTTTATAGGCTTTTATTGCCAAAACAAAATATGAGTCAATATTTACAGAGACCCTTGTTATTCATAACCTCTGCAATTCGCTCTGGCATTCTGGATATTAGCTTCTGGGCCAAATCCTGACTGATGGCTATCCATTCTTTCCTTATTAGTTCTCAGAGTTGATCACAATTTGTGGGCTTCTGCTTGTCCACTCGCCTTTTGAGGACTGACCACAGGTTCTCTATGGGATTGAGATCCGGGGAGTTTCCTGGCCACGAATCCAAAATTTCAATGTAATGATCTTCGAGCCACTTCTTTATCACTCTTGCTTTGTGACATGGTGCTCCATCATGCTGGAAAATGCACAGATCATCACCAAATTGCTAATATATATATATATATATATATATATATATATATAACGTGTGATACCACCGTTAGCCACTAGGGGTATACGCCCGAAGACAGCAGTAGCCATAAACCAGTGGTTCTCAAACCTCTCCATGAAGTACCCCCAGCACCAGAGGCGTAGCAATAGGGCAGGCAAGGCAGGCAATTGCCTGGGGCCCCGCATTTTGAGGGGGCCCCAGACAGCTGACCATTTGAACAATCGAAAATGTCATTATTAATATAATGGAGCAATACATCTGCATACCCCCTAGGGGGCCCCCTCTTGCGTTACGCTGGATGTGCTTGCTTTTTCCTCGTGATGCGTCGGCCGCCATTTTCAAACTGGCACAGCACTTACTCGTGCATTTGCTAATTTAAACATGAAGAGGATTTATCCGTCAGGCAGCCAGAAGCGGAAAAAAGCAAGAAGAGGAAGAAAAGAGGAAACATGACAGCGGTAAATGGAGATAAGACTGACTTAAGGATAATTATATGACAAACAAATGTCTTCGTTGTTAATTCCAGCTTATTTTAATTAAATTATTTGCAAGATGAATTACTGGTAATAGTCCAATTACTAATATGGTTACTGGGAAACAGGTTAGCTAGGGTTGCACTTAGCAGCAGCATATTATGTAGTGTTTAGCAGGTATTAATATAGGCTGCAATAGAATAGGTGGTAACAGCGCCATAATGTAAGCGCCCTTTGCTCGGTGTCTCTTACATACTACATTCACAGTTTGAAGAAAAGTTTAAGATGACCGTCCACGTATACTGTTTCAGAAATGAC